TAACTAACTAACTAACTAACTAACTAACTAACTAACTAACTAACTAACTAACTAACTAACTAACTAACTAACTAACAACTAACAACTAACTAACTAACTAACTAATTAACTAATTAATTAACTAATTAATTAACTAATTAATTAACTAATTAACTAACTAATTAACTAACTAACTAATCAGTTCTAGATTTTCATACTAAGAATCATCCCTGAAAATTTGAAATTGATCTACCAAACGGTTCACCTGAAAACGTGGAGACAAGAGTTTACTGACAAGATTTTAGAACAGAAAATTCAAAATGGCTGCCTTGACATTTACCCAGAATGCAGGGGGGGAGATTTCCCAAAGATGCCCTATCATATTAGCACATTTGAAAACAAATTCTATTAACAGGCCTCAATTTGCCATTGAAATGGATCTCCAAATGTTCACTGTAGTTTTATGAGTATTCTCTACAAGTATGGATCCAGTAACTTTAATAGTATTACCGTAGGTTTGAAATGATGATGTTGAACTGATGTTAACGCCATTCCCAATTCCTTGCGCCATTCCAACGATTTCAAATTTAACTCTGCGCATGCGCAGCACTGAGAGAGCACGTGCTCATGATTGTTCACGTGATCGAATCCTGCAATTTGATTGGAGATGATGCAAGAGATGATGTAATGGGGAATCCCCGAATACGATAGAATATGAAAGAATTATGGGAGCTACTCACTCCTCCTGCCCAGAATGCGAAAAAAACAAATCAGATCTAGATTTTCATACTAAGAATCATCCCTGAAAATTTTAAATCGATCTACCAAACAGTTCACCTGAAAATGCGTAGACAAGACTTTACTGACAAGATTTTAGGACAGAAAATCCAAAATGGCTGCCTTGACATTTATCCAGAATGCCAAAAAAACTAATCAGATCTAGATTTTCATACTAAGAATCATCCTTGAAAATTTGAAATTGATCTACCAAATGGTTCACCTGGAAATGCAGAGACAAGACTTTATCGACAAGATTTTAGGACGGAAAATCCAAAATGGCCCTCTTGACATTTACCAAGAATGCCAAAAAACTAATCAGATCTAGATTTTCATACTAAGAATCATCCCTGAAAATTTTAAAGTTGATCTACCAAACGGTTCACCTGAAAATGCGTAGACAAGACTTTACAGACAAGATTTTAGGACAGAAAATCCAAAATGGCTGCCTTGACATTTATCCAGAATGCCAAAAAAACTAATCAGATCTAGATTTTCATACAAACAATCATCCTTGAAAATTTGAAATTGATCTACCAAATGGTTCACCTGGAAATGCAGAGACGCAAGACTTTATCGACAAGATTTTAGGACGGAAAATCCAAAATGGCCCTCTTGACATTTACCAAGAATGCCAAAAAACTAATCAGATCTAGATTTTCATACTAAGAATCATCCCTGAAAATTTGAAGTTGATCTACCAAAGGGTTCACCTGAAAACGCGTAGACAAGACTTTACAAACAAGATTTTAGGACAGAAAATCCAATATGGCTGCCTTGACATTTATCCAGAATGCCAAAAAAACTAATCAGATCTAGATTTTCATACTAACTTTGAAACTAACTTTGAAAATTTGAAATTGATCTACCAAATGGTTCACCTGGAAATGCAGAGACAAGACTTTATCGACAAGATTTTAGGACGGAAAATCCAAAATGGCCCTCTTGACATTTACCAAGAATGCCAAAAAACTAATCAGATCTAGATTTTCATACTAAGAATCATCCCTGAAAATTTGAAGTTGAGCTACCAAACAGTTCACCTGAAAACGCGTAGACAAGACTTCACAAACAAGATTTTAGGACGGAAAAATCCAAAATGGCCGAAAATAAAAAAGTAATTGTGAGTTTTTGCTGATTTCTTTTTACAAAATTATCACATATAACCACCATTAACAATAACAAAGGCTTTTAAATTGAAAAACTGAAAATTTAAAATTGATCTACCAAATGGTTCACCTGAAAACGTGGAGACAAGACTTTACAGACAAGATTTTAGGACAGAAAATCCAAAATATCTGCCTTGACATTTACCCAGAATGCCAAAAAAACTAATCAAATTCAGATTTTCATACTAAGAATCATCGCTGAAGATTCAAAATTGATCTACCAAACGGTTCACCCAACAAGGCACAGAACAATATCATACCTAAAACACAGCATTGTGGTCTTGTTGACCAAGAAAGCAAGATGGCCGCAGAAAAGTTAATCAGCTCTAGAACTTATCACTGTGTAACATATGTAAAAATTTGAACGGTTTGGCTGGAAACCTGTAGACAAGTCTTGAAAGTGAAGATTTTAGGACGGAAAATCGAAAATGGCCACCTTAAAATTTACCCAGAATGCCCAAAAACCAATCAGTTCTTGACGTTGATATGTAGAAACATCCCTGAAAATTTCAGATGGTTCCCTCAAATGGTTTGGCTAAAAATCTGTAGACAAGTCTTGAAAGTGAAGATTTTAGGACAGAAAATCCAGAATGGCCACCTTAAAATTTAACCAGAATGCCCAAAAACTAATCAGTTTTTGACGTTGATATGTAGAAACATTCCTGAAAATTTCAGATGAATCCCTCAAAAGGTTTGGCTGGAAACCTGTAGACAAGTCTTGAAAGTAAAGATTTTAGGACGGAAAATCCAAAATGGCCACCTTAAAATTTACCCAGAATGCCCAAAAACTAATCAGTTCTTGACGTTGATATGTAGAAACATCCCTGAAAATTTCAGATGAATCCCTCAAATGGTTTGGCTGGAAACCTGTAGACAAGTTTTGAAAGTGAAGATTTTAGGACGGAAAATCCAAAATGGCCACCTTAAGATTTACCCAGAATGCCCAAAAACTAATCAGTTCTTGACGTTGATATGTAGAAACATCCCTGAAAATTTCAGATGAATCCCTCAAATGGTTTGGCTGGAAACCTGTAGACAAACTGAAAAGTGAGATGCCGCCCGCCCGCCCGCTGCCCGCCCGCCCGTCAAGCTGACTACAATATCGTACCTTTTGTTAGGTACGATAAAAACGCGTAGAAAAGACTTTACAGGCAAGATTTTAAGACGGAAAATCCAAAACGGCAGCCTTGATATTCATCCAGAATGCCAAAAAACTAATCAGATCTAGATTTTCATACTAAGAATCATCCCTGAAAATTTTTAACTGATCCAAGAACGGTTCACCTGAAAACGCGTAGACAAGTCTTTACAGACAAGATTTTAGGACGGAAAAAACCAAAATGGCCGACAATAAAAAAGTGATTATGAGTTTTTGCTGATTTCCTTTTACAAAATTATCACATATAACTACTGTTAACAATAACATAGGCTTTTACAACAAAGTACACCTGAAATTATTTATAAAGCTACTAAATAGTTAAAGTATGAAAATTCAAAAACACCATTCAATGTGATACAAAGTATTATCGCTCGCTAACTTTTCTTAAGACATTCAAAATGGCTGACATGACTGAGCTAACAGGTCCAAAACCTAATCAGATGTAGAAGGAAGTGAGCTGAACCAGATGTTAACGTTTTAACTGTGAAGCCGTTTTTCTTAAAGTTTGCAGACAAGGATTTTAGCATTTGACCTCAAAATGGCTGACAGGAAGTAGCTATCAAGTAAATTTTTTTCATCCACATCTGTATGCACTCACAAGTTATTCCTGAAAATTTGAAGGTGATATCTGTAGCGGTTTTGGAGAAAACTGCCGGTCGACGGACGGACAGACAGACAGACAACCAGACGGACGGACGGACACGCCTAGGACGACAATATGGCCCCACACTATGTGGTGGGGACATAAAAAGGGATGCTAATTGTGCTAAAAACAAGATAATAAGAGATTCTTTAATTGGTTTTAGTATAACTTTAAATAGGTAACCACCTACTGAATTATTTTTAGATGGAAAAATTAAATAGATTGTGCCATGATAAATTCCTATTGGAATTTTGTTTTCTAGCTTTAAAAATTAAATCAACTGAAGAAAAAATTATTGAATTACAAATTCATTTGGGACAGAGGCATTCTGTTTTCAACATATTGCTCTTTTGTGGATAAAAAAATCTTGTTGAAAAAATGCTCATTTCTAATGCATTAACATAGACTTTAGTATTTGAGTTATCAAAGATTATGTTTTGTTTTGAAAATGGCAGCCATTTTGAAATTCAGCCATCATCTTGAAAATTCTTTCTTGAACAAATCTACTTTGTCCATAGGCCATCATAACGTAAATTTTGAACCAAATCCATTCTCTGGTATTTGAGTAATCTATGATTATGTTTTTTTACGAAAAATAGCTGCCATATTGATATTTAGCAACCATTTTGAAAATCTCTTTTTCAGCATAGCCCCTTTGTCATCATCACCTTTGCATCAGCATATAAAATTTAAACCAAATCCGTATATATCTGAGATATCAAAGATTACATTTTTTACGAAAAATGGCGGCCATTTTGAATTGAGCGGCCATATTGAAAATTCCTTTTCAAGCAGAGGTCCTACACCCATAAAGCATAAGCCTATAAAATTTTAATTAAATCTGTCAACCAGTATTTGAGTTATCGTCCTGACACACTAACGGACGGACAGCTTTACTATATCCCCCTCGAACTTCGTTCAGTGGGATAATTATCATTCTGATACACATCACATCTAAAAACCTGTCTGAGTTTAGTTGCTCTGATTTTCTGTACAAATCCCGATAATCAAGTAGGTGGGGCTTCCCATACAATCTTCCCAGGAAGTTTACTCTTGTAAAAAGTTGATGTTCTTTTGAAAAATTTAATTTCTTCGTGTTTCATACCCATCAAATTCACAATACTCTATAAGATGTTTATTTCTAATGTAATAAGAATTCATTTGTATGAAAAATGTAAAATAATTTGGAGGAACTGTTAGAAAGAAGTTAATACCATGTTTAAAGAGTTCCACCACATTGAACATTGTTGTTTACATTGTACGAGGAACTTACTATGTGTTGTGCTAGTAGAATCAGCAGGTGATGGATTAGAAGCAGCCTCCCATTGTAGACTCTCCCTGAGTGACTGGCTATCACCATCCTCATATCCATCTATGTCCACCTGGACCTCATCTACATCTAGGAGACCCCTACAAATACAACTACAAATACAATATTATGTAGAATCTAAACACTTGGCCAATGTACAATAACTTACTCAAACTCTAACTAAACATTGGAGAGCTTTAGATAAAAGTTGTTTTTCGAAAGTGTATACATAAACCTGTATTTTAAAGGGTCTGGTCACACTTAAATTAATTTGAAATTGATCTTCATGAATTGTACCCAATTGACACAAATAGTTTCCGAATTCTTAACCTCATTCCTCAATCAGTGACTGCGAATGTAACATCTGTCGCATCGTTGTAATCTGTACATTATCATCATTTTAAAAAATTAAAGCAGAACTAATGGTTGGCTCTCTGTTCATCTCAATATGTAGCTTTATGTGTAATTGAAGAAATAAAAATAAAACTTTTTAAAAAATACATTAGGTGATGTGCCATGATACAAAAAACTTAACAAAACAGGAAGTGACAAAAAATGTAGCATTTTTACACATTTTTTGAACAAAGATAACAGAGTTCTGTTTTGACCTCCAGTCAACATGGTCAATTCAACTAGTTCCACATATGAATGAAGAAACAAAAAGAAAAATGGCATCAGGAAATTCTTGAACAACGTAAATTACGTACATATGTTACTTTTAAACCAGATCAATTCATTTTATGTGACTTGCCAAGAGGCACTAGATCACTGATTTCACAGTTTCGGTATGGAATTCTACCTTTGCATATTGAAACTGGCAGATTTGTAAATACCAATGTAAATGAGCGTTTTTGTAACATTTGTAAGTCGGGTGAAATCGAAGATGAAAAGCATTTTATTTTTGATTGTAGTGCATATAGGAAAAAAAGAAATGAGTTCTTTGAAAAATTGGAAATAGAGAGTCTTTAAGTGACAAATTGTTTTAGAATGCAACTCTACGTGTATAGTGATAGACTTGGCGGGGCGTAGTGGAAGATGACGGGACGTATTGGTCAAATTTGAAGAGATGTGTGGATGATTTAGAAACTGCTGCGTTTGATGCCCAAAAATCAAGACGTAGCGATGGAAGGTTGTAATGGGAGTCCATTCTGAAATTATGGGCGAGAATGGGTAAAAGACTGGCGAGATAACTTGACTTACAGTTGAAAGTTATGAAAATTTGCTTTATCTCACAGCTGGGGACCAAAACGCCGCTAAAACGAGGTACTTTGTACATGAAAACAATGTATCGACTGAAAGGTATTTCTGTGAAGCTTTGTACGAAACAAGTTTGAAGAAAAACGGTGAAGTGTGAGACTCACAATCCTTGATTTTCAAACACTGGGGTAGGTTTTAAATTCAAATTAACGGTTTTTTCGGGACGGAGTGGTTTCGATACGTCCCGAAGAGATACTACCGCGTGACAAAGGGCTGAAAAGGTTATTTCATCATGTTTAGGGTCATTCTGACCATGCACATTGTGATCCTGGTCATGTAAATGATACATGGAAATAGTTAAATTGACTGGAGGTCAAAACAGAACTATGTTATCTTTGTTCAAAAAATGTCTAAAAATGCAGAATTTATTGTCACTTCCTGTTTTGTCATTTCCTGTTAAGTATCATGGCACCTTTAGTGATTACATTCAAATAGGTTTGATAGTGTAATACCACTTTCATAAGCCACTTTCAAAATATTGTCACAGTTTGACTCCCGCTCTTGAAGAGACTTTATGAAAATAACATCAGAGATTATTAATTAATTTATGATGTTTAATGACTTATTAAAGCGGCTCTAAGGTCTGTGGAGAGAAAAATGGAGAAATTTTACCTTTTCTGAGCTATCGGGACGAAGTTTGGTCTAACATCTTCTTCCTTATTCCTATTTTATAAAAATGTATGCATATGGCAATATTCATCAACCAGTAGAACTGGCAAATCGTTTAGAATCTACAATTCCATACAAGGAGTCCCACTCATAGATTTTTTCAAATTCTTTCCAAGTCGACGTCGAAACACCTAGCGGATGAAATTGAAACTAATTTTTCTGGCCGCTCGAATCGATAAAATCTCTGACAGTGTGAGTCTTTTTATGAAAACTTTCTTATAGAAAACACTTGACAATTATTAAAAAGCATTAAAAGTTGAAACTGAAGCGTAATTTGAAATAAAAGTGAAAAAAATTGCGCGGACGACAGAGAACAAACTTCCGGTTTAATAAAAAATGGCGGACAGGAAAGGAGAAAGGAAGACAAAAATTGGAGGATTTTCCTTTGCCATTATCGATCGATATAAGGTATGTGCACAAATTCTAGTTGCATACATGGAAAATAGATACATTTTTGAAGGCAACAACATATTCAAAGCTTTCATTTTACGATAGGCCCAGGATCATTGGATACGACTCGGAAGTTGATATTCCCACTTTAATAGACTAGATGCGAGTAGAAATAATCTTGATTTACATCATTAAATATTCAAAATTCATTCAAAGTGATGTCATATTTGAAATCTGAATGTAAAAGTACATCTAGAAATGTGGTTTCGAAAATTGTCAATCAACTTTGAACTTCTTGTTCGGGTTGATTCCCCATAGACCCCATGTTACAAAATCACAAAAAATGAATTATCTTTTCTTGTATTGGACAGATAACATTTTCTTTTAGTAGACATATTTTAATTTGCATAACTATTAGACACATAAGCGTCATATGAAAATTGAACCACGCAAATAGATGTAATTTAAGTTAAAGGGAACTTTCTACTATACCCACCATGCTATCTGACCCGAACGAGCCACCTGGTGGTGAATCTGGTAACTACCTACTCGCATTTGCGTTATTGATAATGGTGGCATATTACCATATATGTCTTTTTTCTGTATTTTATTGATTTCTTACCATATATAGGACGAATTTTGATGTTATAGCAATATTTGATTTCAAAATTAAAAAGGGGGGAGCTCTACTTTACCTAGCCTTGCCCAAGTCGGTCTCTTTTACTTATCTTGATTTCTATTATGACCGCCTTGTACCAAAGAGAAAGCCACGTGCTTTACCGACAGTTTGTTGATGTCGGTAAAATTTGACCAATCAACGACGGCCCTGTAGCGTTAGCTCATTATTATGCACAGTCTAAAACAAGTACACTTTTCACTGGGACTTTTCACGAACAAATCTTGCACGAATTAATCATGAAAATACAAATATTTCATCAGATAAATATCAATCAGAGTTTAGTGGATGCCGGAGCATCGATTGGATAGCCGGAGGTGATAAGATTTCAACAATAAACGTTGAAACGATCGCTGAATTCAAATGATCGACATGTAAGATTGAATCACTGATTGACGACTACATGACTCGATACATTTTCATCATGCATTTTCATCGCGAAATCAGTTTTAAACAACATTGAATCGCATGATTTGATTTATATTAATGACTCTTACATTCCAATGTACATTTAATTAAATAATATATTCATGAATGATATTGCAACTCTAAAGAAACACTCGATCAGATCATTGAATTTCAAGTCGTAGACGGGAAGTTTGCTTTGTTAATGCAGCTCAACCTGATAACATTTTGATTGGTCAATCAGCCTGAAGTCACACGTCGTGTCCACGCGATCTGTGAATCAATAAGGTTTCGCGATACCCCCGATAGCGTAGGTATTATGGAAATCTCGAAACCACTGAATAACTTAGCATAATATCAGCGGAGATGTATTGGATTGTACAAGGCGGTAATAATTCAAGATCAGATTAGTAAAAAAATACCGACTTGGGCAAGGCTATACTTTACCCGATTCAAATCTTTTACCAAAAAAGGTTGAGCGAAATTTTTTAGAGGAGTTCCGATTCTTCCTCACGAAGAATAACGAGCCTCTCTTTCACTTCCATCGCCATATTTGAAGGGTAAGACAAATTTTTCATATTTGGCTTTAATTTTAGTGAAAGCTTACATTTTCAAGATACATGTACACTACTAATAATCAATCCAATCTGTGCTATAGTCTAGAATTTTTTCAAATAAAAGCCTCTAGAAAGAGAGTTCTTACATTTTGGCGAGCACCCTAGGGACCTGTATCAAAATAATCCTTTATATCTTACAAACGATTTGTGAGAGTTGCCAAGTTGAACGAGGTGTCGAAAGGCACTATTAAATTAGACGATTAATTAATAAAGCATTCCTCATTTCTTAACTAGTTCAATCAATACAACCAGTGTTGATCACCACATAAATACCAAAACAGCTATGGTCAACGTGTCAATTGTTTCATGCTGGACATGTTCCAGTGTTTTGAAAGAGCCATAGATTACAGTATTCAATCTGCTTTGATTGATTTTACTGAACTAGTAAACCAATAATCAGAATCACGCTACAGCATTGTCTGCTTCTCAAATTCTCTCTTAAGGGGGCTACTGTATCTATAAGTCTGTTATCATCCAAAAGTACATGCTTATTTGATATACCAAATGGTTATTTTACTATACTGTAAGTAACCCATAATCAAGTCACATTGTATTATGTGTTAAATAAGGTAGTCTAGCTTCAAGCCTCTGTGACCCCTCCCTCCTCTACTTGAGTAAACATCTTCTCACACAGAGCCTGTAGCTAGACACACAACAGTGCAATTAAGAAGGGATATTTTGATGTACCAAGCTAAGAAGATACTTGGTCTTGATCATGACTTGTGTGCTAAGACTGTCACAAAGAGTTTTCGTAACATGCTTGATATATAAAATTGATGGTACAGTACCAATGAAATTACAGTCAATAAATAAATGAGAATAATTATGAAATAGAAGATGAAGGTGAAAATCACATTAAAATATATGTCAAATGTATTTATCATGAGTTCTACATTCATTCCAGACATGCACTGCCCAATGGAATGCAAAGTTTATTAGCCAGTGCCACTGCCGCCAATGTATTACTCCTGTAGGAAATATAAGATCAAATGTACTGCTGGGTGCAAATATGATAACAGATTGATGAAGTTCAAATCTTTGCTTATTGTTAACATTAAATGCTTTTTGAATCAACAATTAACATTTT